TGCTTAACATGCTTTAAATTCAAAATGAAGCATGAGGAAAGGCATCTTACTTAACACTAGTTTTAAAACAAAATATATCCAAACCATATCCTTGGAAAGTCAATGGAGCTTAAAGAACATTCCCTTGTTCTTACCTAGGAAAGTATCCTATATCACGGCCTACACATAAACTTAACATAAACAGTCCTCTCCATAAAATAAATTCACGTTTAATTACCTGCTGCAAAAAGAAACAAACAAGTGCTCAACATAATTTCTGAACACTTTCTATAAGCTAAAACATAGGAAAAAAATTACCTGCAACACAGGCCCAACAGTCTTTTTATTTGGAATAAGCAAGTAAGTCTGTCTGGACCATCCAATTGCTTAACAAACTGAGAACTCTGTTTAATTAAATTCTGACACATCCATACCTGGAAGAAGATGTGTGTAAGTTTACTGTTTATAACAACAAGTTATATCTTTTATTTCAACAGAGACATAATATTTCAATTCTAGTTTTGATACTTTTAAAGGACTTACAAAAAACAAACTAACACAACTTTGTTCAGCTGAGAAAAAACAATTGTTACACAACATAAAGTACACAGGTGCTAGTACTAAACTTAACACTGAATTACACTTCAAAAATAACTTTACTTCTGAACAAATTTATCTGTTAATTTTTTGTTTTTAAATACTCATAATTCTTCAATGTCCATTATTAATATACACTATGAATCATAATTTGGGAAATTTGCAGTTACTTTGCAATTGATATGTCAGCATTACTGAGCAGTGAGGAAATAAAACGTAACACAAACACCTTAAGAATGATCGGAGGGCTAAGTGGAAAATACTGTTTACAAATTAAATTCTAATAGAATTACATTATTTTTCATAAATTACTGTGAATAATACAGGATTTTTCAAGGCTTCATTTCACAGATTTTGTGTGTGCGCACAGGCACATAGAAAATCTAATTTTAAGTTATTCTGTCTAAATGAAAAACAGCAGAGTACAGGCCAACAAAAGCCGTAATTCTTAAATGAATTTACTGAAGTGGTCAAAGCCATTTTTGCATCCATTAAAACTCTTTTAACTGAAAGAGTACTTTAAAAGTGCATGAAATAAAAGTACTACAGATCAAAGTATGTAACAGTACTCACCAAACGCCTAGAATCCTCATTCTGTCTATAGAAAAAGAGTAACTGACGAACTAAGAGAGTCAAATTAGCTCCATTTGCTGTGGAAAAAGTTCCTCCAGATTGGGCCAAATTAGCACAGCGATCAAATTCACTTCTTTGGATAGAGTACTTAAAAATAAGACATGCATCAATATATCAGTAATGGTTATAATTTAAAATAGAGATGCAAACCAAAAAGCTTCAAGTTCCCATTCAAAGAGGGTGCAAAGTAGTAAAACAGATACATCACGTATTTGTTAAGAGATCAAAACACACACAGAGTATCATAAAGCCGTAACTGCTTTCCGTAATTCAGAAAGTACGTATTTTGTTGCCTTTCAGGTAAAGAATATCACATCTAACATTTTCATCTAGCTTACTCAACACATGCTAGCAAATTTAAAAAGATATAACTCTTTATTAGTATAATCTATCCAACAGCATCTTAGAAAGACGTATTTTTGACTCAAAACCACTACCTTAGCCATATTTGAGGGGAAAAGCTCCACCGGCGTGTGAAAGCTGCTAATACCCAACTGTTTTCATTTGCTTTGTCAGCTCAAAAAAACCACCTGCATAATCCCACTGAAGTCCACTGTCACATCCATGTTTTGTGCAATCAACATCCAACTACTAAAATACTGAAGTGCAAATGAAAACGTCAAGAGGGAAAAAAGAACTTCCAGTTTGTTGGCACACAGTAGTCAAAAAGGTGAAGACAGTTCAATGGAGTTATTTATTACTATCAAGTCACACTTTCAGCAAAATTGCCCTGCATTTCTAAATAAATAAGTACTTACTTGATGTTTTCTGTCGTTGTACCCTCTTACAAATGACTGGATTATTATTGCATTTTTCAGCCTCCGCCTTTCTTCCTGTGAAGCAAAGCAAGAAAACTGAAATCAACATTGTTCAACATTGACTCCAATTTCTATCATTTTATCAAAAACATTTTTATTCAAAAGTATGCTTTAATGAAAAATAAGCACTAATCATTAGTAAGGTAAAGACTTTTAAGGTTTGTATCCAACACACATAAATCAGGGAGAAAACTTTTTGGTTTTAAATGTAAATTTACCATTAAGATATTGCAAAAGAATTTTTAATACTCAGTAAGTATGTAATACTACAGATATAAAAATAAACACATTTGTATTCTACTAGACAAAGTCTTAATATTAAAATGTTGAAGAATTCATCAAGCACAGTGTCAACATTCGTCTTTCAAGCATGCATCAGATAACACTGAAGACCTGCTTACTTGTATAGTAAACACATATATATATAAAAAAAAATATCAGTATTATGAAGCTGGTGCAGTTTAAATATGGGGGGGAGGGGACACCAAATAAACCAAACACTCCAAAAAAATCAGTTATTTGAGGACAATAGTACTGTGAAAAGAAAAATGATGTTTAACGCTTTAAGCCCAGGAGCACAGTATGGAAATTAATAAAAATTACTGGTCCCTCCTTCAAACCAGAAATATAAAGTGAATCATTTTATGATGTTGTCCTCAGTAGCTAGAAAGAGTAGTTAAAATCATCACTTTCTAAGGAACTGAAAGCCAGCTTGTTTAAGGTACTATGGAAAGAGCATTTCAGCGAGTCCCCTAACAACACTCCAACATATCCATCACAATTAATATCTAAGGGAAGCAGCTGCTGTAATTAGGTTTCTAATAAAAGTCCATATAGTTTCTTATGAGATGAGAGAGGAAAGTAAGTAAAATAGTTGCTTGTGAATCTAAAGCTACTAAGAAACTACAAAGATCGAGAGTAAAAAAAAAGAGAAGCCTGCTTAGGTAACAGAAATTTTAACCTAATCAATCATCAAACTACAATAGGCTCATAATTCTGAGGGCCACCAAGTAAAATAAAACATCAAAATGTTTTTATAACTTTTGTTACAATACATTCGGGAAAGTTCATATGAACATTCAACTCACAAAACCTTGATTTCTAATTTACTGGCCCAGAAAGACACATTCAACTTAAGAACTTAACCTGAACTGACCAGGGAAACAGCAGATGAAATTGCTATCCAATGCCTATTTTATTTTTCTTGGAAACCCTGGTTCCTAAAGCAATTTATCTGAGTAAGCATATACTTGAAAGATTCTAATCACCACTAAAGCATGGACGAACATCAAAACTTCGATAGGCCAAAGGATTTTTTTTTCTCCGAAGTATCTAACAGGAAAAGCGCAAAGTATGGGGGCAAGCAGGAGACAGCTTCAATTACAGAGGGGCACTGTCTCTTCATAATCACAATGTAATGCTTGACTAAAAAGTACAGGTTTTATCTTAGAATACATAATTGTCAATTAGTGACCCATAATTGCAAAGGTTTTAAGTCTGAGGTCACTGCTAAGATTCTGCTACAGACTTCGTTTTAAAAGCCATAACTGTTTGTATTCTCAGGAGTCGTTCATTTTGTGAGAAACTGACATATGCCATAGAAAATTGTTGTGTGTGTGTCTGTACATACACAGATACAAGTATATGACTCTGCATCAGCTTTGCAGCAGACAGAATCAAGCAACTGAATGGCAATATATGGTGATATGTAGTAAAAAGTTTATAAAGCACAAAAAAGTCTTTTTGCATATGCTGGTAAGTATATAATGATCATAAATTGATTATTAACATAATTCTGAACTAACTGGTTAAATCCTAGTAACTTCATACTTAAATTTGGTCCATAATCATACAGCCGTGTTGGAAAGAACAAAGAGCAGTAACCGTCCTCAGAAACAGAGGAGCCACTGCAGAACCTGTATGTAATCTAGCAAGGATCAAGCACACCTTGAAGGGCCGAACAGCTGTTTTCCTGATTATTGTGAAACCTACATAGTTATACTTCTTAAATAATTTTTAAGACCAACTCAAATCAGAGGGGGCAGAAAATTACAAAATTAACATACTCACTTAAATTCCATACTACTCAATTTTGTTTTCATACTGCATATATATTTATGTTTTAAAACTGGTGGGTTTTCCTTTCAGTGTCTATTCCTTCCTTGCATTATTCCCGACTGAATTATCCATGGCAGTAAGCTTCTACCACAAACCAGTATCAAGGTTTCCCTCCTCACACATCAACTTCTCTTTGCGTCCCAATTGTCAGGTGATTTCAAAGCACTTTTGGATGCATTCAAACATCACTGTTGTGATTTTACCTTCACAGAACTGAGGCACACACTGGGGAAGTGTATTACTGAAGGTCATCCAAGAAACCATAGCAGAACCAGGAGGAGAAGACAGTTTGCTAAGACCAACCCACAGTAACAGAATACAGACAAGGCAAAAAATGCAATTTACTAGCCAAGTACCTATCTTCTCTCAACAAAGACTAGATCAAATGAGCACCAAAATAAAAGGGAGAATTCTCTTTGCACCCAGTGCATGCTTACCTTCTTTTGAGACTAAAACTACCCTCTGAGAAGCACCTTAAAAGCAGTTTGTCAATTCTAGTATACCAGAGGACTATATAGGACTTGCAAAATGAAACAAAACATTCCTGAACCAAGCAGACTGCAGCAGGAGTACTTTGGAATGTAAATGTTACTACATCAAAGAAAAATCCAGTGTGCACGCAAACGCTTACAGTCTACTTTACCTCTCGTTTTCTCCTTTCTTCCTGAGTACGATGCAGGAGAGAAGCCTTTTCTTCCTGTAAGGCACAAATAAAGGTACTATTGCATTTTCATTCAAACATGATTCAAATGTGTTCATTATATTTAATGACTTTACTTTGGGGATTGTTCTCAATATATAAAACACTGGAGAAAAAAGTGTTAACCGTTTTCCGCATTTACAAGTACATGTAACACAGCCCTCTCAAAGCACTGACAGAGGGAAGCTATGTAAAAAGAAAAAGGACAAAGAACAGCAAACTGTACTGATCCCTTTCCAGGTTTGTGTTCTCTGCATCCCAGTAATGTAGGCAAACATCATCCATGCACAAATGGGGGAGCTCAAATGTAATAAAATCCAAATCCTACCAGGTAATACCAAATGTTTATAGTTTTCCTTGCTTGGAGGGTATGTAAGTCATTGGCCCAGGTGCGTATAGCAAGTTGTGGCACATTCAAAGTTACCACATACTGTTCCAAAACCCCATACTTTTGTCTAACTTGCAAGAAAGCATCAAGCTCATATATTTACTTACCCTTTTCCTCAAAACTTGTCCAGAAAAGATGTCAAAACAGACTTGTGTAACATAAATGGTAGGAATTGTTTCTTTTAAAATTTTGAACTCTTCACCCAAACTAAGGCTACAAACTTCAACTTTCATGACTGCGATCTTTCCAATAGAGAAGAAGGAAAGAATACTAAAATATTCAAAAGATCTCTAAAGAACAGCACCATTACAATAGAACACTTGTGCATTAGCTTTTAAAACACAATCTTAAATCAGTACACACAGATTACAAAATACGAAGAAAGTTTTATTTGCAGGAACCTCTTACTGGATGGTTTTCCAAGGAAATATACAAAGTTATTCCTTTTTGATGCAGAGTATTCAGCTCCTTCTCCAGAGTTGAAAGTACCCTGGCACCTTTCCAAATCCAGTCTAAAACAGACAATAGGTTTAAGGAAACTATTTTCTTTTTTTGTCTCTGACACATATGACTAGTTCCTTTTTTTCCCTATGCCTTTTTTATTCTAGAGAAGAAAAACAATCACACTCAAGCTGGAAATGTATCTGACCACACAAATATAATTTGAAGCTAGCAAACAAATGTTTATAAAATATTTACCCACATCTAAAACAACTGTGCTGGAATATTTTCAATGTCTATATGCAGATACAAAAACATAAGCCAGAACTCTTCTGCTTTTTTTTTTTTTGATGATAGAAAAATCAAAAATATCCTAATTCCTAGGATAGAAAACAATTTAATGCAGGCCACCAAGAGAGAATTAAAAAAAAAAAAAAAGAAAGAAAAAACATAGATGCAAGAAAGGAATTTAAAGTTTGGTTTGTATTTTAGATCATTTACTGCAGCGAGTACCAAGAAAAATCCCACAAGGTGGTTAACCATTTTTTCCTCTAAAGGCAGTATTTATGGCCAAAGACACCACTAACTACAGCTATTGCCCTCTAAAGACAGGGGTTTTCCTACAGTATAAACAAATCATCACAAAATCCATACATAAGACTGTGTTTCTCCATCCCAGCAGTAGGAATGGCTCCAGGTTTGCTTGGTCATGTGAGGCAACAGGTTCTGACCTCATACACAAAAACGTCAAATAATGTACTAAATTAAGAAATAACCAACAGCTTAAAGTTTCAGTTCACTTCTTTTTCAACAGCTGATACCCAATGCATTAAAGAAGTTAGTATGAGGTTCCTATTTAGAAGTGATCAGAGTGACATTTCTTCAATGTGCTTGGAGAGTTTCATTGTGCAGGCAGCACCAACTAGACAGCATTTCTGCTTAGAAGCAAAGCTGCTTACACTTAAGAGCAGACTGAAAGATAAAGCAAAATAATGTACAGAAAATGGAAGACAAATTGCTACATGTGAGTGGAGAATGGTACAAAAAAAAATACAAACAGTAAATGCAAGCGATTAGTAGATAAAGGAAAACAAGCAGCCAGAAGGCTTATCAGAAACAAATAATTTTAAGTATTTAGAGAGGAAGGGATATTATAAGAGGGCAGTGTATCCTCACTCAGTGTATCACCAGCTTTGCATCGATCAGAAACTGGGCCTCTTTGAAGCAAGCATTTTTTAAACCAATCCACTTCAAAAAACTTAAGGTTTGATTATTTTTTTTTTAAATCAATGTCACATACTTGCTTTGAGTATTTGTAAAGAGAAACACCAATTATTTAAAGTACAAATTAGATACAATAGAGGAACTGTTTTAAGACAAAGAATAAAATATTCAGGTAAGTATATCCCACCTTTAAAAAAATATGATTGGTTTAATATTATTCTTGTTCACAAGACACAGATAGACCAGAAACACAAAGGAATGGAATCAAAACTATGGCTAAAGAATATATTTAAATTAAATGCAAGAAAAATATTATCTCCTTCAGAGTTATTCAACCCAATGAGAATACACAGTCTCTTCAGAAATTAAAAAGTAACAGCAGATATGCAGCAGAAAATAAACCTGCTGTAGGAAAGAGATAAAAAGAACTACGAAATAATCTTTCTTCACCTACAAAGCATCCCAACAGAATTATTTCTTAAAGACAGCTAACTGCACAGTCATCTCTGAAATCCTCCCTGCCTTGTCTCTTAATAAACAGCACAGTGACAAAAAGGTAAACTCAGTAGCTGTTGCTCTTTTGCTGGTTGTGAATGACAAAAGCATTACACTAGTGATGTACGTTTAACAACTCCCATCTGTATGGTCACATGACTGCTGACAACTACAGCTGCTATTCCACCACCCCTTCCTGCCTACCTACAGGCAGAGCTACTCACAGTATGAGATCATCTGACAGTAACTCCCAAAGATCACACCTATCTCATTCCTACTTCACATCAGCCTTGCCTCGCTTCTGCAACAGTCATGCTGTCTTATTTCTTCACCTGCCAAACAGATGTCAGGTATCAAGTCTACTTATCAAGGTAGCCAGGCAGGCACTTTAAGTGGAATGAAGCATCAGCTTTGTCTTGATTCCTTCAATCCTAACTCAAAGGAGTGAAAAATCATTTACTGAATCAAATTCCCAACACTTCTATAATATAGTCTTCTTTCATCAGGAGCTCAGCCTCTGAAATGTGGAACAGGGAATACACTGTCTGCATGATTTGTGCAATGTTCAGTGTATTACTAGCAGTCCTTTTCCTGTCTGCTCCTTCCGCCAACAGAAGATATTTGTAAAGACAACCAACCTCAAGCTCTAGCACACAAGCCACAGGACCATGAAAAGCCCAGTTTGAGAAGTTTCCTTCACCAAGTATGTGAGTCGTGACACAAAGAAACAAGACAGCAAAGAAACAGTATGTGACAGCAAAACACAATGTGACATTACAGATGGTGACTCGAAGAATAAGACAGAAGGGGGAAAGAGGTGAAAACAAGGAAGCAGATGGAGGACAGTATACAGAAAGGAAAGCTTGTGACTACCATCAAAGAAACATTAACTAATATTTGAAATGTTAATTTATACATCAGGATAAAACTATGTACCACAAGATTCACCACAGCAGAGTTCAAAGTCACATCACTGCTGTAACAGACCGATTGATGAGAACAGCTGCATCTGACAGTGTAACAATGTCAATGTCAGTGCTTCAAAAACTCCAATTAAATACATAAGGAAAAGATAAATGAGTTAAAACTGCTTTCTTGCCCTCATTTTGCTGAAATACACTCTTCTGTTGCGAAAGCATGTTTACACAACTCCTAGCCTTTACACATCCTAGGCAAAGACTAAATAACATAGCAAATTATATATATTATATATATACACAAATAATGAATCTTCACATTTTAACCCTTTGCATTGAGAGTGGTAATAACTTTTCAGCCTTACTGGCTCAAAATTCAGGTTCAAAAAAAAAAAAAATGTATACATAATTACCTATTTTCAAATACTTCTAGTACTTGACTCTTTCAAAAAGCCACAAGGGTTTATTTTCCTTCTGTAGAATGCAATTCTATTTAACATTACAATAGAACTTTCAAAGTACAAGGCATGACTTATAGGAAATTTTCACAGAAAAACAAATAAGCACTTAATCTTTTAATTTTGGGGGACAATCATAAAATTTTGTATGGTTTTCACTTACAAAACCCAAGCACTTGCATCTTTTTTCTTTCCTTTAAAAAGAGGAAAATGACTTTTCATCTGAATTTAGCTTGAACTACATAAAAATCAGTAACAAATCCCAAAGCAAATGAAGTGACCTAAGCAATTGAAAGAATAACATTCATTTTAATGCAATTGTTTATTAAGTTCAACAAATAAAAGGAAGATTTTGCAGCATTTACATCTAAGGAGCAAAGGTGGAAAATGGAAGACACCCCCATCCAAAGTGGTTCTCAACAATGTTCCAAGTAAAACATGTGCAGCAGCTTGAAAAACTCTGCTTTAGAACAGTTTGTGACTCTAATTTACATCATAATTGAGTTTATATGTAGAGTAAACCATCTTCCAGAAGAAGGTATTTTAAAGTACTTAAAATACGCCCAGGAAGAGGCACTTGGCCAGGGAAAAGCCTGGCCTCACTAAAATCCATGTCACAGTGCCTGCTAGAAAACACCTCGGCATGTTAGCTCAAATTTTACTGTAGATGCAAGAGAGTATCTGAAACCACTTTTACCACAGTAGCTACAAAACCATGCACAGTGGAACCAGGACTTGACTGGAGGCTCCAGAGGCCAAATGAAATGCAAGCAAGTTGTTTTAATTTTACTCTGTCTCTACAATGATTTTTAAGATGTGTAATGTATGCATCATTGTAGTTGACTGACTTTTCATTTTCTCAGAATCATGCAGGAAGAAACCGTATGAATAAAAGCAGAATTTTTTGTTTTGAATTTGAGAAAACCGCACATCACAAAATAATAGTGCAATCATTGCTGCCAGCTAACTGCAACTCCATCATTCATAGCTTCCTTTGAAACAAGGAGAATTTTAAACGTCACTGAGAGGGGAAAAAGTCCACAAGACCCTAGTATGCCTTAATTAATATAGTTTCCTACTGACATACAACCATTATTTTACAACCTGATGGTCTCTACACCACAGATATGAAACTCAAAGAATATTTCAAGACTTAAGCTTTGACATTTCAGCGTCTGAACAAAACACAGTTCTGACTCAGAATGAGGTATGTATTTGCATAAGGATCTACGCCATTTGCCTTACAGGGCAAAAGTCTTACGGAGCAAAGCAGTGCAATTCTTTCCCACCATTCAAAAATAAATTGTATATTTGAAACTGTACTCTAGAAATCCTGTACTATAAATCCCTAGCACCATTTCCTTTCCAATGGTGACCTACTGTAGGCCCAAAAAAGATATAATAAAAGAGTAATTCTTCCTTCCTGAAGTTAGTAACAACTTTCCCCAATCAGCAAGAGAGAAACAAAACTATTTTTGAAATCTGGCCCATCATTGCTTAAATCCTACAGACACCCATCACTATAAACAATCCCAACCTGTGCAGATCTCTTCATGCACTGGCAATCTTAGAGCCTACTGGGTTTAAATCATTAATTATTATTCCTTGAGAAGTTACTTAATGCATAGAATACAGACAACAAAGAGCAAACAAGGTACTTCTAGAGTTGATAGTGGGACAGGGGGAGAATATAAGGAA